AGGGAGGGAGCAGTTATCCTTTTCTAAAGGAATGATGCATTCCTGACATATAAATAAGCAGATGAACACTTATTAAAAGGTTGCACTTATTAAGCCGAGTGTCAGTATTTTTGTCTGATTAATAATTAAAGCAAGTCATTCATCTTTAATTGTTTTAGTGTAGTGTTCTGTTTAATGTTCCATTTCAAATCAATATTTTTAAAGCAAGGCAAGAGACTACACACTTTTCAGGAGAAAGGACATAAAAGGGTGACATTTGTGTGTTTTAGAAGTTGTTTTCAGTATCTTATTTTTATTCTTGCTTCTGGCAAAATAGATAAAAAGTCAGGCCAAAACTCAGTCACTTTTGACTCCACTTAAGCTGAGGAACTGGTTTCAAGTTGAGTCCTGCTGACCTTGCCTGAAAATTTTTCATTTAAGAGAACAGGAGATTTATTGAAGCAGCAGACTCACAACTCCCTGCGTCCTTTCACTCGCTCCAAGCATCGAGAAGAAGTAGTTTTATTTTTAAATGAGCTGGGCCATACACAGAAATACACAGAAATGTCCTTCTGAATTTCTAAACTGTAAGCACGTGATGAGTCATTGCCAGTGAGCAGGATGCTCAGTGCATTTATTGGGCTTAATGTATTTATTGGGCTTAATGCCTGTGCACATTTCAAACTGCCGTAGTTAATGGTAATAGCTGGGATTGTTCTATTTGCCATTTGATTATTTGCACCTCTTATAGCCGTAAGGAAAATTTACTCTCCATTTTCTAAATACTTATTGCTATTCAAAATTAATTTTATTGTCAGGCAATAGCTCTAGATCATGGGCCAAATTTGAGCTGCGGAGGTCTGGGGAAGCCAGGGCAGAACGTGGCCCAGCCTCTTGTTCTGCTTTTTAAAAACAATTTCCTTTGCAAACACAGCTGAAATCAACCTGATCCTTTTTGTTTGTTTGTTTTCTTTTTTTCCACAAAACAGAACAAGCTACTCACAAAAAGAAATGAACAGTTCAAATTTCAAGGATTTTGGAACTAGGACTCTGTGATACAACAGAAACAAGAACGGGGGCTGCAGAGCTCCTCCATCCCTTCTGAAGAGACAGGCACTTGAGCTGAGCCTTTGCCTTGTTACATGTCACCACAGGTTATAAACAAGAGACAAACACAACTTCTGTCCGACTGGATTGTTTGTTACACATTAACATAAAAAATAGAAAATAATAATAAAAAAACCCCCAGTCCTCCCATCAGGGCATAAAACAGAAGATATGAAAACCAAAAATGAACATTAGTTTAGTTACAAATGTGCTTGTTAGGTGTGTTAAATTAATGGCCAAATCACCAACATTTTTTTCACCCAAAATGAACTGCAGTTCTTTTGGAAAACAAGAAACTTTCTCTTTAGAAAGGCTAGATTTTCCTCTAAAACTGTCTCCTAAGAAGATACTATATTTCTCTAAGGGATTTCTAATCTACACTCTATTCTAAGGAAGGAGGAAAAGGAGATTATGTAGACAGCACAAATTAACTCCTTAAGTATTAATGCATCTCCATTTTCAGCCTGAAGGAGTACATATCTTAAGGAGCTATGAAAAAAGAAAACAAAATAAATATAGCTGAACAGTCCTAGCAATTTATAATGCATATACAATAGTTCACCTGCGTCCTTCTGATTCTCTATATGAAAGAGAGAAAGCAACAAGGAGAGAAAAGAGAGAAACAAGAACAGATATGCAGGATTAATGAGCAAGTGGACCGCACAGCCCCCCAGTTACTCATGATATATGACATTTGAAAAGAAGAGAAGTCGCCCCATCTCACCCCCCACCCCCTCCAAAGCATGGGGTTACCAAAAGAAGCTCCTTTCACGGAGGTGAAACGCTGCACAAATAGAAAACCAGAGAGGGTAAGCTCTGAGGACACAGAGGGGATCTCCAAGTGACAGTGGGGTTGGGATGTCCCCTCCAGAGCTCAGTGCAAAGGAGACAGTAAAAAAATCGAGGAGGAGAGCAAGTAAAGCGCATCCTTCCGCTCGAGAGCTAACAGACAGGAGACATGTAAGGTCTGATGTACAGAGAAAGGACAGCCTTACACGATCTTACACGCAGGATTGGGTAAAGATCTTATACGCGGGCAAAGGGATGGCTTTTTCCAAGTGTCCTTTATCTGACCTCTAGCTCACTTCTCCCCGATGTAGCTGCTACCTTTTGATTGTGTACCAGTGACAAGCACTTTACAAATTGGGGTTACACAGAAGCAAAGTAAAAATGCATTCAGGTCACGGACATAAAGAAGAACTGAAAAAACTTACAGACGATCTGAGTTTATCACAAACAGATGGGTTAATTGCCTAACCTGGTTTAGGCTGATAAAAAGTGACTGGACTTCTCACACTGGGTTTCACAGACAGAAGCAACAGACAAGCCAATGCTAAAAGACTTGAAGCAAGGAGAGTGAGTTGGTTTGGATCTGGACTTTCTTGAGGTAATGAAAACAGAAAGAGTGAGGACAGCATGGAGAGGAGGGTGGTAGGTACTCACGAATGGTTAAATCCATCACTTGAGAGGCCAAGCAGAAGACAGGATGCTCATACATTTCTCTCTTTTTCCCTATAAAAGAGGATTTGGGCATGCAAGAGGCTTAGGTCAGAGGTAAAGAGGTTACAGGCTATAGGTCAGAGGAAAACTTTATATTAGGTTAAAAGGAAAGCAGCCGTAGAGTATTTTGGGATACACACAGGATAAAAGGAAGGAAAAAAAAATAGAAAAAAGAAAAAAAAAAGGAGGGTTAAAATTGGAGATCTACTGGATTAACCATTCAGCATGCCCATGAGTCACAAGAGAGGCTGTGACCATGACTCTAGAGGTTTGCTCTGAACTGTTTGCAAGAATATAATGATCAAAACGTCATGAATAGAGGGAAATAGTATTTCATTGGTTTACGGCTCCGAGATACTAAGGATTTCAGCCTTCAGTATCTAAGGCTTTCACAGGTATTTCTTCATAAGCATAGCCTCAAGCACTGCTGCCACCGATTTGGTTCTGCATCTCTGACAAAACTCTCTTAAACATGTGGCTATTCAAATGTCAGCTTTCAAAAGCAAGATTTCAAAGCCATGTACGGCGTGCAGGAATTCATCTCACTCAGATAAATTTGTTATTTGCTCTTTCAAAGGAGTATTTGAACACGTAGTGGACTATGCTCATGAGAGAAAACCTGATGCATGCAGCTGGCGGATGTTGGGTTGTTCGAATTAACAATCCCAGCATGCTTGGAAATTGGTGTTACAACCACTTTTATAGAGACAGTATCAAAAAGTGGCTGTGGCCAATCACGGATAAAGGAGGAGAAAAGCAGAAGAGAGCAGGTAGTGTGGAATGAACTATTTCTCTGAAAAGGTAGCTGGAAAAAAAAAGGTTTGTTGCTTCAAAGTATTCCCAGACCTAAAAGTCACAGTGCAAAAAAGAGGGCAGATAATTAACACAACCAAGAAGAATTGAGGCACAAAAGGAAAAGTACACACTAACTGTTCTACTTTGGAAATGAATGCATTTTTACTTACAGATCATAAAGTTTGTTTTTGCATAGATTTATCTGAAAGAAGAGAGCAAATCTTACCAACGAGTTAGTGATATTTACACAGAGAACCTAAGGGAGCCAGCCCTGGGTAGAAGCATCCATCAACAGAAAAGCTGCTTTTGATTCTCAGTCCTTCTCCATCCTTGTCAAGTATATTTAAACATTGCATTTTACAGAATACACCAATTAAAATATCCTGTGAAGTTGAGTACTTCGATAAATTGCCTGATAATACAGTGCTTATGAAACCTTCGTTCCTTCTCTATTTTTGTCACTCATTACCAAGTCAAGAGTTGATAAACATCCTTTTAGTGCCCAATTCTTAAGTGTTTCTCACTGGATGCATAACAATGAATTCATTACCACTGGTACACAATTTGCATCGTTAGACAGAAAAAAAATGGAAAAAGAGAGGACATGTCATGTACAGAACCTGGACAATTTGTCATATAACAACCCAATTTTTCATGTAAACAAGAACTAAGAACAAATCAGAGGGAGTTTGGGGGGGTTTTTTTCCTCCTCTCAATATTGTCCTAGAGGTATACAATGATAATCTCAGCTGTGGGAAAGCTTCACATCACACATGACAGAAACCCAAATTCTAGAGCAGAACATACCATTCACCTGGAACATACAGGTTTAAACAACTGGGAACTCGGATAAGGTTGAATAGGAGTTTCAAGTTGGGAATAGCAGCCAACAAGGTACCAACATAAACTGATTAACATGTAAAGAACGACTGGATCATAGAGCTTCGGCTAACACGTATCCACTAGCAAGCTTTAAAATGTCTTTTTGATGGCTACATGTGTCTCTAGTCACTGGTTATTATTCTCCCATAACTTAAAAGGTCAATAATATCAGCTATGCTGGATTTAGAGTGACAAGAAGGAAATCTGATGCAAGTACGGGATCACTGATCAATGACTGCTATGCAAACTGCAAAGACAATGAAACACTCCCAGAAAAAAGACATTTTAAATTGGTTACAAATGATTAAGCATAGATTAAACAGTTTTTCAGCTTCTTATTTTTCATTCGTTTCCTGAACTCCACTGTCACAAGCAATTAGCTGCACTATACCTTCAGCTGCAAAGATGACATCCCAAGTATTTCTCCATTTGTTTTTTAAAACCACGACATGAGTCTAAATACTACACACCACTGGCCAAATGCACTAACGATAAAAAAAAAAAGAAGCTACAGTTCCTTTTAACTGTTTCCTCTCTCTTTTCCACAAAAAGAAACGTTTTGCATAGCTTCCATTCTTAACTGCTTCTGAAGCCAACACCACAAAAATGATTCAGAATCACATCACTTTTATTGACAAGTGAATAAATAGCAAATGAGCTTCTTTTAAATAGCTCCCAGCCACAGTTGCCACCTAGAAATATAACAAAATTGTAATTGCACAAAGAAAGAGACTTACCTTCAATTTTGGCATACTCTGATAGTCGAGTATAATTGACTAGAGCTGCTTGCTCCAAGCATTTACGGATGACTGTTTTTACCTCCTCTTGAGGGACCGGAGTAACTATGTCTTTCATCAGAACCTTGACACAAGAAAATCTGATTTGTTGTGGCATCGGGCACACGGAACTGCTTTTCTCCAAGCCCAGCACACACATCCATTCCTACACTAGTGCTGCGTGGCTCTCAGGGTATGTGTACAACATGCAGGATCCACTACAAGGTCACCTTGGCCAGCTTGAGATGTGGGACCTTCCCCTGCTGTGTTATTCCCCTTCTGTATCTATACCCTATGGCATGCTCTGAAATCTGTGCTTCTGATTTTTTAGTGCATGACAGTAAAATCCATCACAACTTGCCCAGTGCCAGGCAATGTTATGCCTTTCCTGGACTCCATTGACTGACCTGGGTTAAGGTCTGGGCTTGGCCATACTGTGGGTTAGCTGAGGTAAGAAGGATGTTGGAGCAGCAGGGAGGCAGAAATAGGGATAGGGAGGACGATGGTGAGCAAGTTTCCTACAGTCAGGGGGAATGAGCCTGCCTTGAGATGGGAATTTGGACAGCAGCCAGGCATCATGTACAAGGGTCTGCGGTGTAGATGCTTGCCAGCAAGATCCTCCAACCCTTAACTATCAACACAGACGTAGGCTGTGCTGCCTTCAGTGGCCAGGTTACACACTGACCTCCGAGCTGATGCAGGAGAGAGGACAAGCCCACCTAAACCCTCACATTTCAGTATTAACTATAATTAATTACACATCCTGCACAAAGGCACCAGTTCCTCAAGCTCTTCTAGATGGAAAGATACATGAATACAGGTAATTTTAACTACTCTCTGTTATTCTTATGCTTACCCTTTCCAGCAGCGATAGAGTAGCTTTTAGTGCACCTTCTGGACGGCCAAATGGAAAGCAGTACCTAGAAAAACCACATCACGTTAACATCAGACCAGGTGCATGTGAACAAGCCTTTCCAGAGATATAAAGATGCTTTTCTAAATATGCCCAAGCAACTCTCTAGTCCCTCTGCCCAGAACAAGCAGTCTTCATAGAGAGTAACATTCTGAAAGGGTTTGATGGTGTGGACGCTAAGGCAGCAAAACAGAACACAGGGCAGTAATAAGCTGGTAGTTTTAGCTGCTTATTAAATCTGGGTGTCACCTGGAGAGTTTTGAGATCTCCTAGGAGAGAGATCAGTTATATTTATTTCAGTTATATTTATTTTTACCTTCTTGTAAAAATGGAAAAAAAGTCCCTCTGGAAAGGACACTGACTCCCAGGCGATGCACCAGGCTGAACAGGCCAGTGACCCTGGCAAGTGGCAGCTCCAAGGGGCTCATGGGGTGTCTCTGTGTGTGACTGCACATCACCCCTCTGCCCGCAAACATGCACCACCCGCTCAGGACCCGGCTGGTGTGCAGGTGCAATTCATCCCTTTTCATGGGGACACCATCCATCCTTTCTGTACTGTGACATCCCTGCAGAAAGCCTCGCCTGTCTGAATACGAGGGAGAAGGGAAAATAAATGGGTAACACCTGAGCAGAGGGGAAAGGAGAAGTAAGAGGACAAAGGATCTTTTTATTGCTGTTGTTAAATTTTAGAAAAACATCCACAGCATTACCATGCCTATGGGAGCAAGATGGTTTGAAATACCCTTTAAATGTTATGGATTGAAAATCACTCTCTGGCTTCAAACATGCTACAGTGCAATCTTTGCTGCCCGGTGTAGGTCTGTGCCACTTACGTAAAATCCCTGTATGCATTCAAAACCTGCCTTTTGGCTTTGCTGCTTATAGGAGGGAGGTGGGAGGAGGGAATCAGTCCTCTGGCATTCAGCCTGGGCTCTCTGCCTTTACCTAAAATGCGTGATCTGATTCTCCAGAAGCAAACGAAGCCGCTCCTTGATCTCTTCGAAACGCTCTTTCTCATCTACGGTCACAGTTCCTATCCCGTCAGGCCTGGAGAAGAAATGCCACGAGTGACTCAGACTCCACCTCGCCACCCTGGTACCTCATCCCCACAGCACACAGCACGCTGCCCTTTCAGAAAGGGACGTCACTAACCCGGGACAGAAGATGTGCCATGCCAAGACACTGGTGGTCACAACAGCATGAATGTTGAGGTTATAAAAAAATAAACAAATAAAGAAATAACCACTCTCAGAAGGATAACCTAGATGTGGGCCCCCCTTTTATTTTTTCTCTGATAAAGTCAGAAAAAGCAGAATCCTCTTTTAAATATAGGTATATGGCAGGGAGTGCAATGCCAACTCTCACTGCAGCATTGGGCCAGCTGCTGGCAAAACGGGGACTGAATTTCTGCACAAAAATTCAGCTGCTAATTTAACACAATTAACAGTATAAAAGAATATCGACAACAGGCTTATATACAAACAGAATATAAAATTCTGTGCTCCTTCATAACCGCTGAATCACCCCATTATAGTGATTTCTTGAAGTGAACCATCTTCTGTATATTCTGCCAAAATGTGCCTAGAGATAGACATGCATTTTGTATTTGAAAATGCAATGCCTTTTCGGTCATTTAATTTTAATTTCTAAATATTAACACACTGCTACAATTTATCAAAGATTTTCTCAGACTATTGACGACACTCTTGTATTTGAGGAGTGCAGAGGAGTGCATTGTGAGACACCCAGGTGCTGTTGCCTCGGGGTATTTCTCATCTTTCACAGAGCACAGTGTGCAGGCGAACCCTGCTGAAGCTCTCCCGGGGCTGGATGATGCTCTTCCACCCCATACCTCTGCCGATGCCAACCCATCTGAGAGCCGAAAGCAGCAATCCCCTCCTTCTCCCCCACACCCACACGGCAAAATACGCCACGCAGCAGAATCCCGGGCGAGAGGAGAGAGCGAGTCTAATCCATTCACCAAAGGAATCGGCCAGGCAAACAATCAACGGCACCGCTCCCCACGGCCAGCCAGCAAACTCGACGGATTTGTGTACTCCTGGGCAACTCTGCTGGCACAGGCGCTCTGTAGGTAATGTAAGATGTCTTAAAATTGAACAAATGTTCTTACTTAAAGGCCTCCTCCAGTGTTCAGCTTAAGCTGCATAAATCCGCAGTACTAGACTGGTTTGGCTATACAAAAGACTTGGCAAGGGATTACAAAGCTTCTAATGAACCTCCTGTCAGGGGTTAATTGGTTGGCTTTATTTTCCTCTTAAAGAATCAAAGGCCTTAAACTTTAAACCCCCCCCTCCTAAAAACCTATAAAAAATTAAAAGCTATAAAATCCGCACAATCATTTCTCCTTGACCCTGCATTTAGTAAGCTCTTAATATCATAATATCATAAATATAATAAATCTTAATATCTTAATATCATAAATAGAACTCTGATATTTCAACACAGGTGAATAAACCATTAAAACATTTTGGAAGAGGAACTAGCAAACCTTACATGATATTTACTGCAAAATTTTAAAGCTAAATATACATTGAATAAAACTTGCAGCAGGGACACAGAAAAAGACTCAAATATTAGGGGATGTATTTAAATTTAAACAGCATTTAATCAGAAATCTTTACTTGATTATTTGCCAAATTCAGTTGTGTATTAAGGAAAAAAAAAGAAAAAAGATTTACGCTGAAACTTGGACAAAATGTCTCAGCTGGGGAACACATTTCATAAACAGTTTTGGAAGTATGGATCTGGTCTCATTAGTACCTAATTAGGACCAGTTATTTTGAAGAAATGAGCAAGCCACAAGAAAACCAAATTAGATAGCGAGCAAAAATTAATGTCTGAACACGCTTAATATATTTCTTATTCCAAAGTTCCATAAAATATTTAATATTCAGACAGAGATGTTCATGCTTTTCGCGATCCTGTGCACTTTGCAGTGCCTGCTTTGGTCCCAAGCAGAAGAGTAGATCATTCAAGACAGACCTCCATAAATGCCATACATTAAGGGGCAGGTTTGAAGCCCTCATTTGACTTTTGGCATTCGGTTCCCACCCTGTACCCCTAACAGCTCACAGAGTGTCATCAGGTTAATTGTATCAGCGCTGACAAACGAGGTAGGAAAAGCCGCCTGCCCTGGCAGTGATTTGCTGATGGACTGGAAATGGTCTGGAAGTTATGTTACCCTTTGCTGGGTCAATAACCTCAACTGGAGAGATTTCATGGCAGGATCTGACAGCTCAGGCTGGGTCACAGCCCTTTCACACAAATCACAGTTTCTCACTGTATTTAAAGGACTTTGGTTTTGCCAGAACTGGTTATTTGTGCTCACCATGTAATGAGTCGTGTTGGACACCTACAACGGGCTTACATGACAGCATCAGTTGCGTCCCACCTGGGCAGTGTTGGCTCTGGAAGCATTGCTTTGAAAACACTGTTCCATGTGAAGATGAAGGGTGGGGTCTGAAGAACCAAGCTCTGGCCAATGCAGCTCTCACCCAAGTCACAATGCCCCAAGGGATGCCAACCCAACCACTGAGGTGTGCGGAGACCACTAGGCTTAACCCATGGTCATCCCCTGGTCTTTGCCTTTCTCAGGGTCTTTGTGAGCCTTTCTCAGGGTCTTAGGAGGACATCTAATCCAGTGGTTCCAGCCACTGCTCCTTCCATATGGGGCCTGTGCATGGTGTAAATGCACGTCGCTCTTGCGGATCATGCTACTGCAAACTGGAGACAATCTACAGGTCAGCTGTAGCCATTTTTGGAGCAGCGTGGATGACTGGAAGGGCCTGCCAACCGAGAGCCATCACTATGGCAAGGACTCCCTTTCTCACCCAGCTGTGGACTATATCGCATCTGACATGATGAGCATCTCTTGAATCTACCTTTCAAATTTTCGGCAAACCATTTTCTCACTGTCCTTCACAAAGTTGACATTTTCGGCAGCATGATAGGAAAGATGTCATGTCGGCTGCTTTTCAAGTTGTTGTCACAGTGGTTAGCACCAGTTCTGTCATCTTTGCTTTCCTCACAATCCCCCATCTTGAGCCATGTCACAAATAATAATACTTCCAATGTTTTTGTCAAATTTCAGATACTATAACCCAGCTGCACATCTTCAGATTTACTAGTTATGTTAATCTTTGTTGCTCATCTTCCCAGAAGCTGAAGCATTAGGAACTCATTAATTAGTGACAAATGCAGGATATACATAGAACTGGAAAAACACTACCCAAAGCCTCGCACTTAATTTATTAGCTTGATAATTTTGAAACCTAATTAAATATTCAAGTCAAATATACTTTGAAAATGTAATCTTTTTGAGGGAACATATTTATTTTCCCTTTTGCAAGAACACAAAGGGTATATAGCTTAATATCACTACAATTTAAGATTCACTTCTGTGCTGTAGACAATTCCAGTGCATGGCTGATAGGGCTGAAAAAAAAAAATCCCCAGGAGAAGCTCAAGTTGCACCAGCTCATTCTGATGCTTATCAGCAATTTTGTTTTCAGTAAAGGTCTCCAGTTCAACTTTGATATTTGCTATTTGATCTTATGGACAGAAGCACCGACTCCTCCGGCGAGCAGCATTTCTGCAGCAAAGCTGGTTACAATGCAGCTGGAGGAAATGGATGTTCTGACACGCAATCCACAGCCCCATTGTTATTAAACTGGAGCAGTGATGGGGAACGAGAAGAGAGCAAAAGGGGGAAGAAAGTTCTGTATGTACATGGTATATAGAGATGCACGATGGACAAAATGCGTTTGGGTCTATGAATTTGGGTCAACAAACAGCATAAATGTCTCCATCTCTGTGGAGACACAATTTCATCCGATACACTACAGCTCCTGCTCATGGACACTTGAGGTGTACGGCAGAAGTTGTGGGCAGAGAGGGAAGCAGAAGGGCAAAAAAGGCAAGAAAAATAAATAAGGAAAATTGTAATTATAAGTAAACAAGTTTCAGCTCTCTCCTTCTGCTGCAGATTCACTATGTTGGCTCTCAACTACTAAATTCCCACTGTAACTATTTCATATGAAAAGTTTTAAATGTCACTTTCCTAATCCCCTCGTTTTTAAGTTTTATGCCATAAAAACAACATCATCAACAAAGCAGGTGGTGAAATTAAAAAAAAAGGGTTGCAATTTAAACAGCAAAAATTATAGTCCTTGTTTAGCTTAGATGGTTTGTGCAAATTCCAGGGTTAATTATAAATTATAATTAGGACCTGTGATCCTAAGGCCACTGCTTTCTTCTACAAGCCCCGCCTCCCCCCATGCCCTTTTCTAATTATACTCAGTGCCCCCAGGGCTAGTTATGCTGCTAAAACAAATATATCAAAATGATTTTTAACAAAGACTAATATATGAAGCAATAGCATGCATTTGTATGCAATTATAAATATACAGTATAGCTCCAGTGGGTTAATCACTTTGACATAAGCCTGTATGAAATACCATGGCGGCTTATAAATGAAAAGACATATCATCTTTTACACCTTTTATGTTTAACTTGTCTACACTTTTTTTACTGAGGAAAATATTGCTTACACGTAGCAAACAGATCTTTGCACGCACTGTGAGCCCTGGCACACAGAGCCAAGAGAAAAAAAAACAATGTCAAAAACTGATGCAAATAATTTGATTTTTAAAGTAACAACTCAAATATAAAACACGTGCTGCCTTCAGCTCCCTTGCTGGTTGCCAGGTGCAGCACATATGAGCTATACAGTAAACATCGATGATTAGTGCCTTGGACGGCATGTGTCAGGGTAGGCTTTCAAAGGATCCCTCGCAAGAAGACTCGCCTGCGTGAGGTCCCACCGGTTGCACGAGGACTGGCTCCAGGGATGTGGGCAGGACCACACCTGCCTGCCTGCCTGCTGCCTCCTCCATCTCCCCCAGTAAATCTGACCTGAAAGAGCCCACCTGTTTAGACCCCTTGAAAAAAAGCTTATTCAGCAAACATCAGTTTTGCTCGACTCCCCTTTCTTCTGGGAATTCACACCACGTGCGAAATGCTGGTTG